AAATAAATTTGAAAAAGAGTGTAAATAATTCTAGAAATTGGTACATAGTTACCTTCAACATAACAATAAAAATTTTCAAAATAAAAAATTAGTATAATTAAATTCTTCTTAGACATGTAGATGTTATTAAAATTTATTTATAGTGATAAATATATCATCTAAAAAATATGGTAAATAGTTCTATATATAAGTTATTGATAATGTTTAAAATTTATTTATATTAATATTAAAATATAAATTAATTTATATCGAATTTAAAGATTATCTCACCCTCTAAACAACTAAAGAGAATTATTAAAAAATTAAAATTAAAATTTAAAAGGAAAAAGCCCCATGAATAATGTACCCCCTTTTCCAATCAATTAAAGGGTATTGGGATATTTTGGATTATATTTGAATAATATTGAGTTGGGTGACTTTCTAGAAAATTAAAATTTAATAATTTACATTTAGTATCAAAAGGATTTTAGGGTCAATTTTGTTAGTTGGCTAAAATAATCACACCACATCAGTTGGTAAGTCTAATTTACTATAGCTTTCAGCTTTTGTTCATCAAAGCTTTTATAAAAAGAATGACTTGATAAAAATAAAAATACACCCCCTTTTCTAATCACCTAAAGGGTTTTGAAATATTTGATGTTAAGCATTTTTTGGTTTAAGTAATAGTAAACCCTTCAAAATAATGGTTACTTTTTTTTAAAAAAAACTTAATTAATCTAATTAAGTATAAGTTTTATTTAGTTAATCATCATTAAGATCAGAGACACAAGGACAAACATAAAAAGGAAATAAGAAACAAAATAAATATATAAAACAGATAAATTTAGGAAGATATTTCTTTAGTTTATTTGGATTAGAACTAAGAGGGCAATAAAGGTAAAAGAAGGTACTCAATATGTGTTGAAATGCAATACCAATACAATACAAGGGATTATTTATGAGCGTGTGAAGCTGAGACAAAAATATTTTATAAAGATAATTGAGTGTTTTGAATCTAAATTTTTCCAAGATGCTTTTAGTAAGTTAGTATACTTTTTAACAATAATGCATATCTGAAAGATTTACAGAAAATTGTTAATATAGCTTAAACTTAGAGTTCTCAATCACTTTGGTATTAGTTTTATGATTTAATAAGTTTAAGGAAGAAACCTTAAAATTTATAATCAGGATGCAAAGTAATTTTGAACGTAAGAATTTGAGTACACTTTAGAAAATTTGCAAGTCTAATAGGTGATGAGTTTTTCATTTTTTTATTTTAAATTTAATGTTTAGACATATCCACTAATGGAGGATGTGAACTATTAATTGATCTTCAATACTTGGCAAAAGAGTAAAATTGACATATGTTGGCACTTTGATAAATAACTTGATATTGGTATTTTGATAGTTAAATTAATTTTATACCTTGTAAACTAAGGAGCATGTCAAATAAATATTTTATTTGAGCTTAGTGATAAAATTAAAGTTTAGTTTTATAAGATTAAGGTAAGATATGATTTAATTATTTATATTTCTTTGAGATGTTCTTGAAAGTTTGGATCTAAGTTTGTTTGAGTTTCATGGATTTAAGATTTACTTTGCTTGTATTTCTTTAGCTAAAATTTGTGCTTTCTTATATCTTGTAACTCTTATATGTTCTTGAAAATTTGAAGTATTTAATATATAGCAATTTTCAGACTCCTAAGTTCAAAGTAATATCAAGCTATGGCTTGTAAATTACCTTTAGTGTCGACAAGAAATTAATGATCATTATCCACTACGATAGCAAGGAGATAACATTTGTCATTGAGAAAATTTCTTTCATCGAAATATGGTATTCATGTAGTGAACTTATTCACTTATACTTAAGATGGCAAGAGATTAAGATTACCTTATACTTATGTAATTGTTGCAGTACAAAGGAAAACACAATTTTATATTACTCACTTAATTCATATTTTAGAATATATATAATGTATGCATTCACAATGAACAATTGAAAATAAATAGTTGTGAATCCTTGATTCGTATGTAGCTAATGTACTTAAAGTAGATCACAATATAAACTTATGAATGATACCATGAAGAAAATGTAAAATCAAGTTAGGTATAAAGTACTAAAGTAGCATTATGAAATGAAACATCTTATCTCTATGGTGGAGAAACCCTCCTCAATTGGCATTTATTATGAAAAAAAAGAAATGCATTCATACTAAAGATTTTGAGAAAGAAAAAAACTACATTTGTTATAGGTTTTGTGATCATATGACGTTTTTCAGATTTTTTATGGATTTTTTATGAATTTTTAGTTATAAATGTAATATTAAACTTAGAAGAGCTTTTATACTAAATTTAAATATTTGTTTTTGCAATTTTAAAGCTTCCAGGGTCATATTAGTAAATATGCCAAATTTGAGGTTAACAAGTTTTATTACTAAATAATTAAAAAATTTGAAAGAAATAATTCTCAGTTTAATTTCAGTAGCAAAATTTAAAATTTAGAATTATAGAATCTATTAGATTATAGATGTGTAGTAGAAATAGCATCTTAATTCAAAAGGTAAAACCATTAAATATTTATATTATATTTGCAACTAATTTTGTTAGAAAAACAAAAAATTAAAATTTATGAGATAAAGTTTAAACTTTTCTAGAATTTTGGGTTATGACATTGTTAGTATACCTCTTATCCCACAGAAAGAAAAATTATCCTGATTGCAGCCATTCACATTATCTTTTGCCAAGATTTCACTTCTATTCAAGGAACTTGATCCATTCATCAAGAACTTTGGGAGATCCATACCATGGCCTCTCTTCATCATTCGCACCAACAGGTGAGTGGTAGACACCATCAAATGTTATGTTTGTCGCTCCTCTCAAATGTGCTGACATTGCAGGAACAACACCATCGCCCCACACATCACCTCTCCCACAAACCTGGTCAAAACAACCATAGCTATTATCTCTCCAAAACTCATTCCATTTAGTTACCTGCTTGTATCCTTGGCCAATAAGTCTATCTTCATACGAAGGAGTTAGTTCTTCCACATCGTCAATTTCTTCCTCGTCGCTTTCTACTATTGTTTCAACCAGCGTGCCTGTTGTCACACTTCCAACGCCTGCTGCTACCACAGCATCCGGGGATTTAGATCGAGTAGCACCCTTTATATATCTGTAAGCAACGAACAAAAAAACGATCATAAACGATAGAATTGAAACCGGTACATGCCTGCTAGCAATGCAAACGTATTTTACTTGAGGAGCATGAAAGGCCCCGGGGCACTTCTCTTCGACGTAGTCTAGCAGGCCCCGTGTTTGATCGAAAACACCGGGGACTCCTTTTGGAGGTGGCCTGGAGAGAGTTAGAAAACGAAGCTACAACTTCGATTCGAATCGACCAATCAGTGAAACTTACAAGTGAGGAGTTCCAAGTGTGAGCAAAAGAGAAATATCGTCGGTTCCAAACTCCAGCATGAAAACCCGGGCAAGCCATCCTCCCGCTGAATGAGCAATCAGCGAGACTTTGTCATGACCTGAGAGCAAAGCACTGGAAAAAAAGCTGAGAAAAAAGAAAGCTTGCGAAAGTCGAGATGAGATCGAAAGAAGCTTCTACCGTGCTTGGCCTTGACAGCGTCAATAGAAACTTTTATTCTTTCCAAGTACCTGCAAAAAGTTCGATCTTCTAAAGAGTTCACGAGATGATTCAAGACTGTACCAGTCAAGAACAGGCCTGGGCTTGAGCGTTCCTCTCCAGTAATTCCCGTCGAGCAAACCAGCAGCATTTCGTAGCCAATCCAGCCTCGAAACTTTCAAAACCTTGACCGGAAATCCTTTGCTGCGGAGAGCTGACGAGAGTGGAGCATAGTCTCCAGTGTTATTGCCTAGTCCCTAGCTTGAAAAATAATGAGAAACCAAAAGAAACCTTTTCGACTAGATTGCGAAGTTCAAGGAAAAAAAAAAGATCTAGACAAGAAATCCATGTAAACTTTCGACTAGATTAGAACGTTCTAGACTAAAAAGAAGAGAAAAACCTAGCCAAGCAATCGAGCTATTGTAAAACTCTTGAAGGAGTGACTGACTTACGGGTAGTATGACAGTGCTTTGTCGCTGGGTCAAGTGGCCATTGTTTGATGGCGAGGCGAGGCACCCAACAATGTGGCTGGATTGGGTGCATACCATGGGTGCCATCACTATATCACTTCCACCACGCAGGAGCTCCAATTTCACAATCCCTCCCCTTGCCCTGGGATGAAATCAAACAAAAAACATTGTCAAATAAGTCAAAACAATGTCAAAGTTCGTCAAATTAAGTCAAGGGCTAAAAGATCAAAGTCTAATGGGAAGGAAATAATATTAATTAACCCAAAAACTCTAATTTATCTATACTATTAAAATTTTATTACACTAATATTACATTACAACCGTCGTACATTTAAGTCCATAATAGTTAAATTCGTTTACTCTAAAAGGTAAAATACAAAATTAAAAAGCCAATGTAAACCGGGTCAAAATAAATCAAAGTCAATGGTCATTTACAAGACCAACTTTTAAACTTCTTTCAAAGAAAGAAGAGAGGACTATGGCAACGCTAATGTCACAGGAAGAGGCGGAGAGCTTCGCAGTGGAGTGGTGCGCATCACTCAACTCGCGCAGCCTGGCCTCCATCCTCGCGCACTACGAGCGAGGCGCCACTCTGGTGTCACCCCTGGTATGTGATCTCCTCGCGCGGAGCTCGGGAGCGCTCCAGGGCCTCGTGGAGCTCTCACATTTCTTCCACAAGCTCATGGTCCGCTTCCCAGATCTCCACCTCCAGATCCTCCACGTCTTTGGAGGCGTGTCCAGCTTAGTGGTCGTCTACCAGGGAGTTCCAGGAGTGTTTCTAGTTTCCGAGATGCTGGAGATCGATCCAAAGTCACGTAAGATCTCTAGAGCTGTGGTGCACTTGAAGAAATCCTGCCACAACGCTGCTTGAGCCAAAAAAAGCGAGAGAAAAAAGAAGAAAAACACTGTCAAAAAGCAGATGTAATGAAGCAAACCTGTCTTATTCCCCTGGCACGAATTCCTTTACAGCTATGGCTGGCTAACGAGCAAAACGATTACTTACAGTAAAGAACTTACACTCGGAGTCGTTGCTGTGCAAAATATGCATAGAAGATTTGGGCTGTGATCTCTGCCGGATTGACTGGATGGTTGGTTCATTTGTCCGGCTTAAGATGGGCCAGGACTTCCTTCAAATCCGTCGGAGGCTTGGACTTGCCATTGATGATCTCGAATGTGACGTTCGACTGTGGACAGAGTCCTTGCAAGCAAGCCTGAGCAATCAGTGCAACGTCCTTTCGAGCAATGGTCCCCAGCCCTTTGTCACCTGCAGACAAAGCCAAAACCAGCACCGTAAAAAAAATTAGCTTCGCAACAAGAACTGTCAAAGGAAAAGAGCCCAAAAGCTAGAAAACGATGAGAGAGAATTTCAAGCAATATGATAGTGTTCCTAGCGTCTCAACTCACCTTGTTCGGCGATGACCTTGTATTGACCGCCTTCTTTGTTGAGTAATCCCCCGGGCCTGATGATAAAATACCCGAGCTCCTCGTGCTGGGAGTAGGCTTCCTTGACAGCTGCCTCGCCCTACAGCACAACAAGAGTCAGAGAGTTGGATGCTACCTACACGTGTTCGTGCAACAGCGATGCTGAAACGTCAAACGGAAAGCGAAATGAAAGCTGACCTTAAGCTTCCACACCAAAACTCGACCTTTAACCGCATTGAGAATGAGAGAAATGGGTGAGTAAGGCCTTGTCACTCCCATTGACGAGACGAGTACGAACTTTGGAACCTGGAAAGTATGTGAAAGAAAAAGAAGAGTTAAAAAATCTCGAGCTAGATCGCTAGCGGTTTAATGTTCTTACCTTTGCAGAAGCAGCGGCCTCAGCAAGGTGTTTAACTCCCAGATAGTCGACGAACTTTGGTGTGTCCTCCATGACAGAGCCAGGGAGCTTCCATCCAGCTCGAGCACCAATCGTGCACACAACCCCGTCCATTCCTTCGCAAGCAGGCGCCAGCGTCTCGGGTTTCGTTACATCACCAAGGACGAATTTCACCTTGTCGCCTGCCAGAAGAAGAAAAAGAAGAAGACTTGAGCCTGTCACTACCAAGTCTCCAGAGCTCCTAGAGAGTGGACAAAATTCACTGACTTGTGGAATCCAAGGCCTTGGTTGCTCGCTCCAAATTCCTCACGAGCGCAAACACTTCAAACTCCTCAGACGCGGCGAGCAATTTCGCGACCTGGAAAGAACCAAGAACACATCAAAACACTCCAAATTATGGAACGCAAACCCTGAGAGCACCGGCAGAAAACAGTCAAAGATCGATCAAACACCCCGAAAACCCCTGTGCGCTACCTCCATCTCGAGCATCGGCAAAGAGTGCCGCTAAATCACGACTCAATCTCGAAAGAATGCAGGCAAAGAACGATCCAACACCTCAAAATCCCTGCGCGCTCGTGAATGCAGCGCCATACCTCGAGGCCGCAGCCGCTGCTACTCCCGACGACTAGCACCTTCATCCCTCCGCCGCGACGCAAATAAAAACCCTACCTAGTGCTGTTCTTCCAAGAGCACACATGTAAAGGCGGTGTGGTTTGATTTTTACTTTGGAAGTTTCTAGCTAGTAATATTTCTCCCTCGCATATACCTTTCGATCGATCGATCCTTCACAGGGGCTAGAAAGAAGGCACGATTCCATCCGCCATAGCCGAGAGCACGAAATGCTCCACATCCGATCGCTTCACGAAGCGGCCTTTGATCCTCGGCCGGATCTCCGCGTAGGCCTTCCGGGACGCGTAGCGCACCGTCTTCTCGAATTTGCGATTCTTGCGCTTCTCCTTGTAGCGCAGCACTCGCTCCTCCCTGGCGATCCCGGGATTTTGCTGCTGGATGCCCTGCTCGCCGCGAGAAATCTGGCACAGGAACTCGATCATGTTTCCTGGATAGGGTTTGGAGATGTCGCTCATGCTGGAGCTGGATTCCGGGACCGCCGCCACTGAGGAAGATCTCTGCGATGAATTGGCAGCACAGATCATCAGAAGAAAGCACGAGAAATCTCTTTCCGCAAGATGGAATTCTCAGCGATTCCTGTGTGGGAAATGCATCGCTGAGCAAAAGCCCTCTCTTGATTTCACGGTATCGAGCGAGATTTTTGCGAAGAACACGCGAGAACTTTCTTGCAAGAACACGAAGAACACGCGAGAGGAGGGAGAGAGAATGGCGCTTACTGTTTGGCTGAGCGAGATCGTTGTGCCAGTCCCTCCCAAGCTATAGGAGCTCCCCTCGGGCTGTTCTTGCAAGAATCCCGGAAGATTTGGCGCTGCTCCCACCTCGAGGAAGGAATCGAGCGAATCGATCACGCCGAAATTCGCGAGAGGCTGCTGCTGTTGTTGTGGATTCTGCCAGCAATCCGGCGCGGCGAGGAGGAGAGGATTGTCGTTTGGAACGACCGACGAAGCGTTGATGTGCGCGACCTTGATCATGCTCGGGCACTCGAAGAACGGCGTGACCGCGACCCTCTCGTGGCGATTGGCGAGCGGATTGGCCGAGTGGATGTCGGTGTCGCACGACGCGCACAGCGCCGCGGCATCGGCCTTGCAGATCACCGCCGCCGGGGCGTGCTCGCACACCTCGCAGATCCAAACCCTCTCGTGCCGCGACGCGAGCTTGTTGGCGCCGTGGACCTTGAGATCGCAGCCCAGGCAGATGTAAGCCATGTCCGCCGTGCAGTAGATCGCCGCGTTGGAGGCTCGACATCCATCGCAGAGCTTCGTCATCGATCGAGCAAGCACCAATCCGAAGAAATCTCTAGAAAATTTTCACTCCCGATGGAACTAGAATCGTCTAGGATCTTTTCCAATCCCTCCAGTGGCTGTCCTCTGGGCGGGAATTGCTGGATTGCCCCCCCAGATCGCTGCTCTACTATCTCATTGCAGCGTGCGCTAGCGATTTAATGCGAGATTTCATGTGGGTAGGGAACAGGGAGTGAAAATCTGTGCGCGATCCGTCAGTACAGGCTGGATTACATTGGAAAATGGGGAAGAACAATCGATGAGAGGGGGGTGTTTGCTTAGAACCCTAAAACCATGGACCAGCTGTGCGGATGATAATCGCAGGGAGCCCAGCGCCGTCGATCCGGGCAGCCAATCACATGATAGTTCTAGATCCTTTGCGTCTTCACGTGGCATTTTCACTTTTCCCGCCGGAGAAAAGAAGGGGTAAAAAATCTCCAAAAAAAAAAAATTGCGACAACGACCCCACTTGCCACTCTGGCCTTCTGCCATTGGTCCAGCGCACAGAAAAAATCTTTTCCCGGGCGCTCAGAGCTCCCGTATCTGGCGAGAAGATTTTCCGGAATAGTTTTTCCGGGAGGATGAGGGATTCCCGGGCGGAAGGTTTTGATGATCTGGACCGTTGGATGTGTTGTCAGTGTAAGGCCTCAGTGCTTTTCAATCGTGGCTCCCAACGACAAGCAGCTGTAAGAATGGATTCAAGAATCATGGCAACAAAAAGAGAGCACTATCTTTAATCAAAGTGGGGCTCAAAAAGGTTTAAAGGTTAAAAAAGGTCTAAAATGTTGAGCACTAGGGGAAACATTGGATGGAATTTTTTGTTGTTTATGCAAGTCAAGTTCTACTATAACTTCTAGACAGGAAAAATAGACTTTTCAGGTCAATGGTTTCTCAATGTGGGGTACAGTATTTTAACTTTAAACAATAACTTTAAAGATTTTTAATATATATTTTTTCTATAATGCAATCTCAGTTATGTAATGAATATTTATTTTACAATATAAAACAATTCATTTTGGATAAATGAAAAATCAAATATGTCAATACATGGAATATATTTATATGCATATTAGATTAGCCCAAAAACTCTAATTTATATACAGAAGCAAATGAAACTAATCCAATAACTATCAAATCACTATACTAATAATAGTAAACCTTATATCATCTCTTCTTTTGAGAAGGATAAAATGTATTTAAGGTTTTCTAGTTGATAAGTTAAAAAATTTAAAAAAAATTAAAAGAAAGTTTTATTAAGTTTATATATAGTGTAATTTGTTTCTGATCCCTTTATATGGTTTTAACCACTAAAAAAAATTATTTATTGAATTTTATACTAAATTTCATAAACTACTTGCCATAACACTTAATACAATCTATTTCCATTGAGCAAGGAGCCTCATAAATAAATCACATGTTGTAAGATTGGGATACTTACACTATAATTATGGTTAATGAGGTATTTGTAACAATATTTTTATTTTAAATAATAACTTTAAATAGTTTAATCATAAATTCTTGCTAGACTTATATATATTTTTATATTTATCTGATTATGTAATAAATTTCATAATTTTCATTTTATAAGATCAAATAATAATAATATTTCATTTTGAAAAAAAATAAAAATATAAAATATAAAAGAAGTAAAATTCTATTTTAATCAATATTACTTTAAATTTAGTATTTTAATGATTAAAATACAAGATTAAATACCTGTTGTGAGGTTAAGATGTATAGGTATAATACTGTATACTAATATTAATGTAGTGGAATTTTGACATTCATCATATTGATTTTAATTAAGATGACTTGCTATTATATATAAGCTAATGTTTTTAGGCTAATTAGTTATGCACATTTCTGTATTACGTTTCTATATTTTATATATAAGTCATAAATTTTTCCTTTCTAATTTGCCAGCTTACCTAATCTATCCGACCACCACTGTCTTGGCTTTAATTAAATTCCCTTGCCAGAGTTCCTACCTATTATACTAGCTTTTATTTGGTTTTACTCGATTTTAATTACTTACTACATGAGCAACAAAGTGTTAACCATCCATCCATGAATTCCTAAATTCTCTCTCAATCCCCCTTCCCAGGTTGAATTGAACTTAAGATTTGGCTATATTCCCTATATGCATAAGCAACCAAGCACACCAAGCCTTTAAGTTTTTAATATCCTATGGTATAACAAAGCTTAATCATAAAACCCTTTAAATCCTAACCTTTAAGTACATTTTTTACTTTGGAACCTTAAGGGGGAAACTTTATGGCCCATAAGTATTATGTGGCTTATTAGTCTTCACTCCTTCCTAGGGGCTTGGGTCTTCCCTTTAAGACAAAAGTAGGGGAGTAGAAATACTCATATTGGGCTATTATGAAACACCACTCCATATGAGTTTGAAGCACTATTGCCAATTTCCCTTCCAAAAATGGGAGTTACTTTTGAGAACTTGCTTGGGTGGCATCTTTAGCATCATCTAAGTCTATGTTTACCCCCACCTAAGGCCCCTAACCCTTAGTCCTAACCTTAAGTCAGTTTGAAAGCACCATTAAAGAGTTCTCTCAAGATTAGTTCCTAAATCTCATTATCTCTATTATACTTTTGGAACCCTCTGTAGTAATTCTCTATATCATAAAATCAATTCTCCACCATCTTATAATCATTCACTCCCTTGAAGATCAATAGGAACTTTAGTTTGTACTTGGGAACTGTTTTAGGAATTAATTCTACTTTAGTTTGTTCAACTTTGTTCAATTTTATCTCAATCCCCGCCAAAGGGTCCATGCCTTTTGCATTGCACATATTTGCAATTTTTTACTTTTTCTTCTGCTTTTCATCACACTTTAATTTGCATATGAGGGTCTTTAGTAGGGCATTAATCTGTGCTAATTGTCCTTTAAGAGTATCCAATCAAGCCTTGGATGATTGAATCTTACCACCAAACTATTGTTTGGAAGTTTTTTGATTAAAGTCCTCCTTATGCAAAAATTCCTCATCCATAACTTTTTATTCGATCAAAGGCCCCATCTTTGAAAAAGGTTTTGTCTTTGCCTTGGTCCACTTACACACTCTATCTTCCACCATCTCTTAGCAATCCGCCTTTATCCTTCACTAGAATTGAGGAAAAGGCTTTGATATCAAATTTTAATTTATAAATTTTTCCTTTTTAATTTGCCAGCATACCTTGTTTATCCAACCACTATTGCCTTAGCCTTAATTTAAGTTCCTTTGCCAAGGTTCCCACCTATAGTATTAACTCCTACTTGGTTCTACTTGGTTTCAACTATTTATTACACTAATAATAATGTATTAGCCATTTATCCATGGATTCCTAAACTTTCTCCTAATCACCTTCTCTAGGATAGACTAAATTTAAGGTTTAGTTACACTCCCTATAAGCATAAATAGCCAAATACACCAAGCCTCCAAGTACTTAATATCCTATGATACAACAAGATTTAATCAAAAACCCTTTAAATCTCAAGCTTTGGGTACATCTCTTGCTTTGGGATCCCAAAGGGAAACACTATGGCCTAATAGCCCAATATGGGTGTCCTTACTCCCCCACTTCCATCTTAAAAGGAAAACTCAGGCCCATAGAAAGGAGCGAGGACCAATGAGCCACATGGTATTAAAATGGGGCATCACTCCACCTAAGTTGGGAGCACTATAGTCTATTTCCCTTTTGAGAATGGGATTGCTCTTAAGTATTTCCTTGGGTGGCCTTTTTAGCACCATTTGAGTTCATGTTCACTCCCACCTAAAGCCTCTAACCCTCAATCCCAACCTTAAGCCAGTTTGAAAGAATCACTAGAGAGTCCCTTCAAAACTGGTTTCCCCCCCTATAACACATATAATCATGGGATGAGATTTGGATAAACTATCATATTGAATCCTTGGAACTTTAAAGGATAAATAGGGGTAAAATAGCCACTAAAGGCTCTTTTATCAAGTAATTGCCCTTTCTCCAGTTGGCTTAAAAGGAGAAAAATAAAGTGTGTTACATATGGTATCAAAACAAATGGCACAGGTTCAATTCCTTTTTATTAGTGGCTACTTAAAAAATATAATATACCTTTGAATAAGGCATATTCATACCCCTAAATTTGAAATCATACGTATTGCATATGTCCTTCCTCTTATGGGGTATTCACGAATGAAAGTATCTACCATAAGATTGTAGTACGGGTAGATGATTAATTGCTTTATATGGAATAGCTAGTCTATACAATGGAAGGATTGATGTGGAAATGAAGGTATTGGTTCCCCTCGGCTCAATAAGGGTTGTTAATTAATAGTCAATGAGAACATTAATGTCTTTAGGGGGGGGGGGGGATGGTGAATATAATGTATGTGATCATGAAATGAGATTAAATATATTGTCACTATGGATCCTTAACTTTAAAGGAGAGAAATATGGTGTGCTAAACCCTCTACCCCCCCCCCCCCCCCTTTTCTCCTGGTTTCACTACACGACTTGTATTAGTATTTGGACTTGGTCTCATACTTGATTTCAGATTCGACACCATAGATCTTTGGAACTTTGGGGGATAAATTAAGATAAAATAGCCACTATAGGCAGTAATTGCCCTTTTTCCGGTTGGTATAAGGGGAAAGAGATAGGGTGTGCTACCCTTCGCACCCTGGGTTTCACCTCATGATTTGTATTAATACTCAGATTTAGTTTCGGACTCAGTCTTGGATCTGGTCTCAGATCTTAGACTCGTCTTGAACTTAGTTTTGGATTTGATCTTATCCAATGAACTCTTTATCGTTTTAGTTATGATTTTAGAGATCCTTTAGCCTATGACACCTCAGGAAGTTTGTTACTTACATTGTGCACTTATATTGGTGGAAGTGAAGAGTAACTCTAATTATCCCTAAAGAATACTTGGATTTATGCTTTTTGTTTATTTTGCATTATTTAAATCTCTCTTATTTCTATTTCTTTACTTTTACTTTTTAAGTTTTTTTTTCAATCGTCTTCATAGCAAAACAACATACTAGTGATTCTAGAGCAGCAATTGGTGTAGTTGCTCAATGCTATACAACTGTAGCTAACCAATTAAACTCAATTGATGGTTGTAACTCTTCTAATTAATCCTTATGTCTGGCTAAATTTTTTTATATAGGAATCTTAGAGATGATGTCTACTTGATGGTAATTGCCACTTATCATTCTTGGGATGAGGTTTAGTATTTGTGCTAGTTCCCCACATATTAATGAATAGCATTGTAGAGGTATAATAGTTTGAGTGCAGCTACTTGTGTGGATTCTTTAGGATATCTTCAAGCATATATTTGGACATATTGATAATTGTGACAATGCCTTTTAGCACTTGCATCATCTTTGTCAAGGGTTATTTAAGTTAATTATACAATTTGATGTTCACTTCTAGAGTCTCTTGCTTTATACAAAGTTAAATATGTCAAATCTTGTG